AAACAACACTTGACATTGAAATGCCTGTTTCTACAGACTTCAATTTAAAGTAAATATATTAAATATAGAAATATAAAATGAATAATAGTATATTTGATTGTGCTAAAGTGGAACTATTGCAAGTATACTTCAGGCACACTTTAAATATCTTGCATTTAAAGACTGATATTATTTAAAGATCATACAATTCTCATCAGTAGTGACATATTTAGTAGTAAAACCCATTTTAGGCTTAATATTTAGAAATTTGCATTGTACACAAGTAGTACTGCTGTAACGGAGCCGACGAGACGAGAGGCATACTTTATTCTTAAACATGGTCAAAAAACAGGCAAGGTTCTGACAATGGCAAACAGGTATGGCACAGGCGAGACAAAAGAGTAATCCAAAAACAGGCGTGGTTGATCAACGGCTAACAGTATCCAGAGGGCTTGACAAGAGGGGTAATCTGATAACACGAGCTGTAGTCCAGGCAAGGTGCAAACGTAGTCCAAACGACAAGACGAGATAAATCCAAGACAGGCAGATAATCAGGTAACATGCAATCACAAGACAAGACTAAACTATGAACTAAGACTAGAACTAGGAACTAGACAAAACTTCAGATAGGAAACTGGCTCCGTAAAGTGCTACCACTAGGAGAGCGATAAACGCAAACAATACTCGGCGAGAAGAAGTCCATGGCTTATAAAGCGTGTCTCATTGGATGCAGCTGTGTGTGTGTAATCAGTGCAATGGATGATGGGAAATGCAGTCCAGGGTGATGTGTAACAGTCGTCAGTAATTTTAGTATGTTAACTTAAACAACTTGAACGTTTTTGTCTTGTATATTTTTTATTTTAATTTAAATTAATGAAAACAACTTTTACTAATTTTTAATAGTAGTAAACAATAAAAACACTTGACATTGAAATGCCTGTTTCTACAGACTTCAATTTAAAGTAAATATATTAAATATAGAAATATAAAATTAATAATGATATTATAACAAAAATGATACATTTGAAAAAATATACAATATCAATTTTAAATGGTATATTTTTTAAAGATTTATTTTTGGCATTTTTGCTTTTATTATGACAGGACAGATCAGAAGTGACCGGAAGTGAAGTGGTAGAGAGATAGGGGATGGGATCGGGAAAGGTCCTCGATTCGGGATTCAAACTCAGGACGCCCGTAGCGTGATGGTGGCTGTATTTCAGTGCGCTGTGGCCACAAGGCTATCAGTGCCGTTAAAATGGTATCTTATACATTAGAGTCACCAGTCTGTCAACCACTTAGCTAAAATGAGGGTTTTGGCTTTAAAAGAAAATAATATTTGAAAAAAGTGCATACCTCACAAGACCCAACAGAAATATTTCAGCATCCCTGATATTACCACGCAGTGACACAGACCATGTGAGGCACATCCAAAGTTAATTAAATGCATAAATTAAATTCATCTTGAAAATTCGACTTAATTTTTCAGCAGTCTACACAATAGAAAATAAAAAATGCATTATAGAATCTCGCTGGAATATGTTATTGGATATCGTGAGGTGAACAGAATAAAAAAAACTAAAGTGGAAGTAAAGCAACACACAACGGCTGCCCTCTGAAGCACCATCTCAAAGTCTTTTTCTCCTCATAAATGTTGCATTGAACCTTCTTTAAAACAAGAGTCACCTGTCACCAGATCATTCCTAAATCCTCACAGGATTCTGCTGACCTTCCAGGGTTTGTTCTTTTAAAATCTTTCGCTTTGCTTTGGGTCTCTGCTATTTTTTTCTGACATACATAGCTACCTGAAAACGTATTTCGATTCTAAAGACGCCTCGGAGAGCTTTTAAGAAGGTGCCATGAACAACATCAAAGATCTTACTGTTGAACCTATTTATATAAGGATCTATTTATAATAATGGTTGGAACATTTAATGGGTGTCTGCATATTAATATGCATTGCGGCTCTAATTTATGCAGCAACTGTAGGCGTGGTTGATCAACGGCTAACAGTATCCAGAGGGCTTGACAAGAGGGGTAATCTGATAACACGAGCTGTAGTCCAGGCAAGGTGCAAACATAGTCCAAATGACAAGACGAGATAAATCCAAGACAGGCAGATAATCAGGTAACATGCAATCACAAGACAAGACTAAACTATGAACTAAGACTAGAACTAGGAACTAGACAAAACTTCAGATAGGAAACTGGCTCCGTAAAGTGCTACCACTAGGAGAGCGATAAACGCAAACAATTAATGGGTGTCTGCATATTAATATGCATTGCGGCTCTAATTTATGCAGCAACTGTGGCTCTTAGATAAGAGAACAACAGTCAGTGCTGCAGGTACCAAAAAAAAAAAAAAAACACGAGAGTCAGAAAACCCCTCCTGTCTATAAATGAGAGTTGTTGGGTCCAGCTGATTAATACTATAAACAAACCCAAAAGAAACATGAGAAAATCTTCTGCTTGCCACTAAAAGCTTTGAAAGAGTCAGTTGTGAATCAGAATGGTCCAATGATTGAACTATTCAGCCGTTCGATTGACAGAAATGATGGGTTTTGCAGTTATACGGTCTCCAAGCAGCAGTTCTGAGAAAATGACATTTATTCTGAGTAATGCCTTTGCCAGATATGAATGGAGACTTGATTGTGTGCAGTCTTTTATTTCTGAGTAACTTTGTTAGTGTGTAGCGATGACCTGCAATGGATGATGGGAAATGCAGTCCAGGGTGATGTGTAGCAGTCTGTGTGGTGTGAGAGCGACCTCTGGTGGCAATCGGCCGGAAGGCCACGGACTGGATTCGTGACAACTGCAAATAAAGTAATATAATTTTTATATAAATTAGTTCTCGAGAGATATGTCAGTAAATAGATTTGAACTATACCTAATAAATGTTTTTTTATTTTTTTTATTTATTACTTTTTTACTAGGGCAAATATGCAATATAAATATATATTTAAATATTTCATTTTTATTTTTATTTTTATGAAACCTAGTTTAGAAATACAATGGTGGCCAAAATGATTAGAACACTAGTATTTTCACCAGCTAAAAAATGGTCAGTTATTTCTATCTTTTGCTGTAGTGTGTCAGTAAGAAATATCAGTTTGCATTTCCAAACATTCATTTTGCCATTAATTGTAATAATCCAGTGAGATTTTTGTCTGACAACAGCCAGTGCTCCATACAGAGATCTGATCTGATCATCATGCAGTCTGTCTGGAATGACATGAAGAAACAGAACAAACTGAGACAGACTAAATCCAGAAGAACTATAGCAACGTCTCCAAGATGCTTCAAGCGACCTACTGTTCAAGAGCTGTTGTCAGACAAAAATCTCACTGGATTATTACAATTAATGGCAAAATGAATGTTTGGAAATGCAAACTGATATTTCCTACTGACACACCACAGCAAAAGATACAAATAACTGACTTAAAACCATTTTTCAGCTGGTGAAAATTCTAGTGTTCTAATAATTTTGGCCACCACTGTAGGATATTTACAGGTCTACATATATTACATTTGCATACACTCTAAAAAATGCTGGGCAGCCCAGTGCTGGGTAAATATGGGACAGAACACATGCTGGGTTATTTTGAAATAATAAACGTTTTTACCCAACATCCTGGGATGTTTTATTTAAGCCATTCCCTCCTAATGGTCTATTCAATGGCATACAGGGGGAGCGTTCAAGAAACCGTGTGCAAAGACTCATCATATTCGCAATTCTGTTGGATGTTACAAGTGCAAAAATCTCCTTTAGCTGTTAAAACATCTTGTGTGTGAAATGCACATCTATGGTTGCAGTGTATGTATGCGTGTGCCTTTCCAGTATGGACGTGTGTATGTGTGTGTAGGACTGTAGGAAATGGAGGCCTTTATCATTCCCTGTGCAGGCTTACCTCCCCGTCTCTAAGCAACGGTTGCCAAGCAGCCCGTATAGCTGGAGCAGAACGAGAGAATGAAGAGAAAAAAAAAAAAAAAACATCGAGAGTCAGAAAACCCCTCCTGTCTATAAATGAGAGTTGTTGGGTCCAGCTGATTAATACTATAAACAAACCCAAAAGAAACATGAGAAAATCTTCTGCTTGCCACTAAAAGCTTTGAAAGAGTCAGTTGTGAATCAGAATGGTCCAATGATTGAACTATTCAGCCGTTCGATTGACAGAAATGATGGGTTTTGCAGTTATACGGTCTCCAAGCAGCAGTTCTGAGAAAATGACATTTATTCTGAGTAATGCCTTTGCCAGATATGAATGGAGACTTGATTGTGTGCAGTCTTTTATTTCTGAGTAACTTTGTTAGTGTGTAGCGATGACCCTCTGTACATGCTGTGAGAATGCATCTTGATGGGTTTTTCTTCTGCTTACACTTACACAGTGTCTCAATGACAAAATCAGCCATACGATTGACTTCTGTGCTTCGGGTTTACTAACTTGGACCATCTTCGACAAAACTGATATTGGAATTTGTAGTGAAAAGAACATTTGAAAATGTCTTTGTCAAACACTACATACAGTAAAGTTTGGGGTCTGTAAGATTTTTTTTAATGTTATCTAAGAATTTTTTATGCTCACCAAGGCAAAATAGAGAAAAAAAAATAGTAATATTGTGAAATATTGTTACAATTTCAAATAACAGCTTTCTATTTAAATATATTTAGAAATGTAATTTATTTCTGTGATGGCAATCTTTATCAGCCATTACTCCAGTCTTCAGTGTCACATGATCCTTCAGAAATCATTCTGATATGCTGATTTGGTGCGTTTAAGAAACATTTCTTATTATCACTTTCAGTCAGTTTATATATTCTTTATTTTCAGCATTCTTTGATCAACAGAAAGTTCTGAAAAGCATTTATTTGAAATATAAATCTTTTGTAACAGCGCAGAAGTCTGTCAATTTTGCTCAGTTTAATGCATGCTTGCTAAATAAAATACAAAAAAATGTTACAGACTTCAAACTTTCGAATGGTAGTATAAATACCTCAACCATTTTTTTTTCTCCCGTTGCAGAACTATGGTCTAGAGACAGAGAATTTGCGGACTTTGTCACACAAACTCAATGCATCTGCTAAGAATCTGCAGAACTTCATCACGGGCCGCCGCCGCGGGGGCCATTATGACGGACGGGTGTCGCGACGCCTTCCCAACGACTTCCTGACTTCAGTTGTTGACCTCATCGGAGCAGCTAAAAATCTACTAGCCTGGCTGGACAGGTACTTAAACAGATCTAAACAGGGCATGAACTCACCTGGGCTGAACAGAGTCATATAATATCATAGAATTTAATGGGACTGAAATCACACTTGATGGTACTGAATCAAAAGCGAGTCAAACAGCCTGGATAAGCTGCCCAAAATAACGGATGGAAAGCAAACTAATTTCATTTTTTGCTTGTATAATGGAAACTATCCAGAAACATAGGTTTTGAGTCCAGCCTGGGTCAGGTCATGTTTAAAATGTGAAAAAAAAAAAAAATGTAAGTCTTGTTGATTGGTATGGAGAGTTGTTTGTGTTCATCTCTTCGTGTATGTGTTTTGCTTTGTTTGCAGGTCTCCATTTGTCAGTGTTTCTGAGTACTCAGTGCTGAAGAACAATATTGTTCAGCTCTGTCTAGAGCTAACCACCATAGTACAGCAGGTGTGTGTGTGTGTGTGTGTGTGTGTGTGTGTGTGTGAGGGTTTTGGTATTCAACACACAAACAGCACAGTCATTTATTATTATTTTAATGTACATGTTTCTCTTTTCCTCTCAGGATTGCACAGTGTATGAAACTGAGAATAAGATTCTACATGTGGTGAGTGTTTCTTAAGCCACACACAGTACTTAAGTTCACTCCCGATTAACTGTATTGAGAGCATCTAATTTCGATTACCACAGGCAATTACTTTGACTCAGTAATGCAATAAAATGAAAGCCATATGGAAAACCAAAGGGAAAGTCACATTTTTGTTAAACCATTTGCGTGATTTTTTTTAGCTGTGTATTGTTTGATTTGTGAAAATGCCTAAATCCTGCTTTAAGGTGCAACCACCTTTCTAGGTAAAGAAAATGTCCTTTAAGACGTTAACGCAGACATTATTTGGCCACTTTATAAAAGCTTTTTACAAGTGAGGAACATCCTCTATCCCTACAGGCTGGTTATAAGACTTAATTTTATCATATACTTTTACTATACAGTAGTTGTGAAGTCTTTGACAAGTATAGTGAAGAAGCACACACAGCCTTTAAAAGTATATTTCAAGTAAAACGTGATTGTGGAGTCACATGTATCTAGCCTGCTCAGAAGCAAAAAGCTGTTATGTGTGTGTTTAGCCTAAGGTTGGATATCTTGAATAATGCAGATTGTGAATTTTTCTCCCTTCAGGATCACTGCCTGTAGAACAGAAAGAGAGGGAGGGAGGAATAGATGGATGGAGACAAATAGAGAGAAAAAGATGAAAGAAAGAATATAGCATGAATAAATCTATATATAGCATATGACTTAATAACGTTGATTCATTATACATTATGGGTACATTTCATGACGCTGAATGCCTTTCATGTGAACGGTTCGAAATGTCGCACTGTTCCTTTCCAGTTCAACAGCTATAATTAGACTGAGAGAGTTACTGTAGAACCGCAAACATGGACTGACAACACTGTCTGTCTCTCTCTTATTGTCTTTCTGTCTTTATCTCTCTTTGCAGTGCAAGACTCTATCAGGTATCTGTGAGCACATTATTTCATTGTCGTCCGATTCGTTGGTGTCACAGTCTGCCCACCTAGAGGTTGTCCATCTGACGAACGTTATGCCTAGCGAGGGCCTGGTGAGTAAACAATGGCAATATATCCCTTCCATAATCAACAGAAATATGAGAATGCACATGCAGAGTTATACATTCAGAGACAACTATAAGACAACTATTTGTAGAAAAATGCTGTCTTAAAGTGTCGTGCATTCGTTATCACGGCATGTCATGCATTTATGTTGGAAACATAACATGAAAGTAGCCTAAATACCCAAGTACCCAAATAACTACATCTGAATTCAAAATGATGAAAATATGTGGTGCATAAATATATTTGGTACTTAACAATTTGTATTTTTCAAAAAAGCAAACACTGTAAGTTGATTGATTAAGTTTGCACTTATCTATGAGCTGTTTTGTACATTGTATCATCTAGAATTCAGAGTCTCACAATTGTAAATATGACTTGGTCATTCATGTGCTCAGAATTAGTAATTACAATATTTTCGAATACATGGGACTGTCTGTCTGTGTGACCAATAGCAAGAATGAGAAAGCTGTTTGAAAACAATCCTTGTTTTTGCAGTTCCATTTAGTGACAGAAAGGATACGCTTCAGCACCGTTTGAAAAATCTGTATAAATCTAGCTGTGATGCACTATGATTGATTGATTTTATGATTGACAACAGCCCCTTTTGCTCTTTTTAGGGCATGTACATCAAGTCCACATATGACGGTCTTCATGTGATCACTGGAACCACAGAGAATGTGAGTTCAGAGCTGGATTTATTCTTTACCTGTCTCATATAAATTCCGCCAATCCAAACCCTAAAATTATAAACAGCTGTAAGCCTCACTTCTTCCCACAAGTTTTGGAGAATCTCTCCTGGGAATGCCAGGATGGTCATTTAAACGGTCAACCTTTTTCAGGCTTGTCTTACAGGTTTAAGAAATATGTAAACACACAACACAGCAGTTCTAAAAAAAAAGAGAAAGAAATAAAATAATAAATAAATAAAATAAAGTTGTTGTTGTTTTTTTTTAAATAAAATCAATTATTTAGGGATGCTTTTGATTATTAACATTTAATAAAACCATTCAAATGGAATACAGAAAATTTATGGAAAACGGAATTGGGTAAAAATAAAAGTGAATTTGAAAGGGAAATAAAAAAACGTGCTTCATAGGGCCTTAAAAATTTCATTTTTGTTAATCTTTTAATAAATTGATGTTAAATTGTGTAAGTTTCATGATTTTAATTAATTAGACATGCTTTTTGATTAATTTAATTTAACCATTAAAACAGAGTCTAGAAAAATTAAAACGAAGAAAGAAAGAAAACGGAATCCAGAAAAATTAAAATGGAAAAAACTGAATTTGGGGAAAAAATAAAACAGATTTAATAGGGCCCCATGTAAAGCACCATCTGAGTTCTTCAACACCTAGATTAAACCCATGTCAATTTTAAGATCATCATTTGTGATGCTGTGAGATAGGACTTCTTATCTGTAGGAAAACCAGCTCTGGTTTCCTTCAGATTGTCAGTGCCCATTTCAGGCAGTGTTGCTCTATAAAGCACATGCTGTGCTGCAGCTCTTCTGTGGGGACAGCAGAACCAGGTCATCTGCATAGAGCAGGCACTTGATTTCAGAGCTGGGTAGAGTGAGGCTTGGAATGGTGGATTGTTCCAGTGCTGTTGTTAAATCATTTATGCACGTGTTCAATTAGGTTGGACTCAAGCTACATGCCTTTTTTTAGCTGCTGAAAGAATGCTTTTGGGAAATGCAGCCCAGATGAGTGAGATTTTGATTAAAAGACCCTCAAACGTTCTTTGTAGGGAAGGTCAACATTTAGGCATGTATGATGCTATACACAGAAATACCTGGTGTCCAGTTTATTTCTATAATGAGCAGGTAGGGATGTAACGATTAACCGTGAGCCGGTTGAAAATCGGTTTAAATATGTGACAATTCAAATCGGTTGAGATGCTAAACAAATCGTAATTTAGATTAAAAACTGCTCATGTTGCATGATGCATGCATGCAGCATCTTTGTTTGGATCAAGATTAAAATGCAGTGGTTGCCTCTAATTTTAAATGGAAAGAGCACAGACAAAGCCTTAGTTTGTTTATATGAAGAGATTTATTTTATTTGTGTTAATTATTTATTTGATTTGGGGCTTGTTTTAAAATTTCAATTTAGTTTTGTTATTTACATTTACATTATATTTAAATTTTGTTATTTAGCAAATGCTTTTATCCAAAGCGACTAACAAATGAGGACAATAGAAGCAATCAAAACCAACAAAAGAGCAATAATTTACAAGTGCTATATTAGTATATTATTATAGTGTTATATTTCAATTTCACAAAGAAATGTACAGTATTTTGTCCAAGCAATAATAAAAGGACACATTTAATTTATAATTTGTTTTAAATCTCATTTTGTAAAAAAAAATAATAATCGTGAATCGAATCGTGAAATCAAAATCATGAATCGAATCGCGAGTTGAGTGAATCGTTACATCCCTATGAGCAGGGGTTATTAATCTCTCTATCTCTCTCTTGCAGTCTCCTGCAGATCAGTGTAAGAAGATCCACGCCGGTGACGAGGTCATTCAGGTCAATCACCAAACTGTGGTGTGTATCATTGCGTGGGTCAGGTTGACTTCTGTTTTGACCTTGCATCAGAGCATATGTGCAGTAATGTTTGCGCAGGTATGATTGATTATCAGTTGATGCTCAAGGGTTTTCAGGTGGATCTCATGAAGCCTGTCATGAACATGTCTAAAAATTTCAAATTCCTTTATATGAAATTATATTTTTCATTAAAGAAAACATTAAGAAAATGAGACCTATTTTAGGGCCATAAATATTTTTTGCAGTCCAGCGCACGTCACGTGGACAAAAATATATTTATTGTGGCCGCAAGTTAAGAATTTGTTTCTATTAATTAAGAATTAATTCCCTCATTTTAGTCAACTTGCGTCCACGAATTTAAAATTTGTTTCCACAACTAATTAATCGGTTCCCTCGTTTTAGTCAAATGTGCCCATTTGTTCAACAAATTACTACAACATGACCACAATTAATGAAAATGCTGAAACGAATTAATGAAATGAGGAAACAAATTCTTAATCTGTCATGTGCGGGGCTTCAATCAATAATTTAATCCCCAGCCACCATTTCTAGGTACTCCAAATTTAAATGTTATATACATATACAGACATATATATATATGATTTTTTTGCAAAATACTACCCTAGTGGAAAAAATATATACTAAAATGTATTTGAAATACATTTATTTTGTGCTAATTACACTACAAATACATTTACATATTTATGTGCTTATAAAACTACCTTGCAATTGTACTTTTGACATACTAAACTGGTATACTTAAAATCTGCTAAACTGGAACATCTAATTTTGTGCTTAATGCACTTTAATTATGCGGAAGTAGTGTTGAAGTCTAATTAAAGTATATTTGATTGTGTTAAAGTGGAACTATTGCAAGTATACTTCAGCTACACTTTAAATATCTTGCATTTAAAGACTGATATTATACAGAGATCACACAATCCTTATTAATAGTGAGTGATAGTAAAACACATTTTAAAACGCACATAATATTAAGAAATGTGCATTGTGCAATAAAGAAATACTCCAAATAAAATTTAATTATAGTGTTATATCAGTAAGTCTTACATGATACGTCAATAAATATGGATTTGAAGTATACTTAGTATGAAATAAATGTATTTTAAATAAATGATGGCATATATTTTTACTAAGGTAGTTTAACATTATTTATTTAGTTATATTTAGTTTTTATTTCTAAATCATCTCTATCTTTCAGGTGGGCTGGCAGTTGAAGAATTTGGTCGACTGTCTCCGTGAGGATCCGAGTGGAGTCATCCTCACACTGAAGAAGAGGCCACAGAACACTCTGGGCTGCACCCCTGCACTGCTGAAGAACGCCCGCTGGAAACCACTCGCCCTGCAGGTGTGTGTGTGTGTGTGTGTGTGTCAGGATAGTTCAATGTGTTTGTTCAAGTGTATCCATTTAATATGTAGTGTGTGCGTATGAGTGCATCTCAGAGCAGTGAATGAGTTCTGTACGGCTTGTTGCCATGGCAGCCAGTGTTCCGTGGTTTCTCTGGATACAAGTATCAGACAGATACAGTTAAAGCTTGCACATGTGTCCTCTCCTCACAGTCACGACACAGCAGAGCGGAGTGGACCTTCACTCATGAATGAATCCACATTGGTGATCTAAAGGACATAATGCTTATTGACAATTACACATCCACTTATGGTGAAAGAGGATTTTAAATCCTTCCTGAATGAATAAATAAACAATTAAAGAGAAGATATATTGTACACTTGTGAATTACTGAATGGAGACGGCTAGGAACGGGCAATATGACCAAAATCATATATCACGATATGAGTAATTTTATTTCACGGTAAGGATATATATCACAATATAGTTATTTTTGCTTTAAATAAGGTATTTTTGATTTCAAAATGTATCTTAATTCTTGTCACCAGTATTAATATCACAAAAAACGTCTCAGGTTACTTATGTAACCATGGTTCCCTGAGTAGCGAACGACAAGCGCCACCTGCTGGCAGAGAATAAATTTGCATTTTAGACCAAAGCCAAAAACGACCCTTATTTTTACACAGAAAACATGCAGTTGTAAATGTGAACTGGTGGATCTACAAGAAAATAATGAATTATAAAACTCTAAAGATATAGCCTACACTAAGATATATTTATG